TGGATAGTTCAATGCTTAACAATACTTAGCAATGTGGTAAATTGCCTGGATTTGTAAATCATGTTTTTGACAATGTTACAGCTGGAAGGAGAAATGACCTTTGCATTTGTGTTAAAATTTAAGAGGCTTTAACAATAAACTATTCCACATTGCTGTTGGGAAGTTATTTGAAAAACTGGCTTGTTGGAGCAAGTTGCTACAGAAGGAATTTAAAACAAAACATTACAGGAGAAGCTCAGAACTTCCTGTGAAAACTTGAGATATCCTCCCTGCCCCCTTGCTCTTAAAGAATCCATTCAAGGGGAGGAAGAGAGAAGACTTTGATTAGTAAGAGAACTGTTCAGTGTTAGAACTGAAGGCACCAGTCCAGTGTGAAGAGCTGGAAGTAAGGAATATAAAGTTCAGCCACCTGAGTTCATATTTCTAACTACCAAAGCCCCCTGACCATGCGATAAGCAGGTTCCTTGCTTTGGGTCAGAGAGTATAACAACAACAAAAAAAACTCTGGGACCTTAAAAGAAACAATAACTTATAAGTATTTCCCTAATTGGGATGCCAAGCCTTAGAAAGAAGATCCATAACATCTGACATATTTACCCCTGGAATCTAGCAGCCGCCAGAGACAGATTTAAAACCCATAGCACTACTTGGGGGTGGAGGCTGAGAAGAGAAATGCCTGGTCTCTTCTGGCTCTTGAGAGGAAGGGTGTTTTTAGGTCCATTGTCCTTGTGAAAATTCTATCACCGTCCTCCAGAAATCAAGATCCAGAAACAGGAGACAGTCACAATGTCAAGCTCATCTGACCCCATAAACAAAAAGGCTTGGTAGATCCTATAGTTCCTCCCTCCCTCTGTGGTTGGCCCTGACCCTGGTCTTAAAGGAGTCAGAGGGCTGTTCAGTGGAGGTCTAGAGGTTGGCCCTGACTCTAAGGGTGAACAAGTACAGTCAAGTTCTTATGCTGGGAATCCTGCCTGCTTTCTAGGTAACTCTGGAACCCCAGTGCTACTGAATTTGAATCAACAAATTGGGAGTGGGGTGGGGTAGGACAATGCAACTACCTAACTAGACCAGGAAATCCAACAGGTATTATCACCGATAGAGCTTTAGAGATTTCCAACAATCCTTTAGGAGACTGGGACTAGCCTGTGAGTTGGAGGTGGTCCAATTGCCATAAGGAAAATATAGTACAGCAGTCCTGTGCTTTATCTTGTGGTTTCAACTCATTCCCCACCTCGTAGCTCCTCCTACCCTTCCCACTTCCCTGCCACAATGCTTTTAGAAGTTGTGTGGTGAAATGTACAAGAAGCTGAAAATATTTTTCTCAAGGAAGTGTATGATGGGAAGGAGAGGGTTTTACTCGCCAAAAATCCTTTTGGAAAGGGAGAGCTGTCTGTAGGAAAAGTTCTTTGATAATTGCTTGGGGGTAGAAACTGACACCTGAGGGGTCCAGATTTTGGTGTACTACCTGCAGCAGACAAGTGAATGGTTTTGTTGTTTGCTCCATACAGGGAGAGGGAAGAGGAAAGAGGAAAGATAAAAGAGGTGGGGTGGAACCAGATGTGACCTCCCTGCCAGCCTGTCACTTGAGGGCAGGAGGTGGCCTTAACAGCATTAAAACTGTTTCAAAATTTCTGCCTTTAAAATATTCCAAGAAGCATATAAAGGATGCTAAAAATGTGAACTCCTTTCAAGTACTGTTATCTTGGATAAAAGGTAGAAAAAGAAGAAAAGAAAAAAATTTTTAAAAGAAAAAACTTTGCATGTAAGGCTTTACCAGCTTCTTGAAAAAACTTGGTACTCCAAATTATTTGCTGAATGAGTGACTCTCCTGTCATTCCCCACCCTCCCAACCTGTGCCTCACACTCCAGCAACACTGAACTACCTATATTTCCCATTTGCCATGTCCTCTCTCACCATGTGTCTTCTGTGTTTGGAGTATTCTCCCTTTCCCACCCCATCCCCAAAGCACACTCTCTTGTCCACTAAACAAGTTCCCACTCATTTTTCTCCCTGCCTCCTAATATCTTCCATAGACACGGCTGGCTTTCTCATTCCCATGAGGTTTCAACTCAAAAATCACGTAATTTCTCATTAAGGCCATCTCTGGCCATATACTAAAAAGTCAGCAACCTCTCCATCAAATCTTCATAGCCTCCTTCTGTGCTTTATTTTTCTTCTCAGTTCTTAGTAATATTCAACACATTATATATTTTACTTATTTAATTTGTTGTCTGCCTTCCTCAGTAAAATATAAAATCTATGGAGACAGGGATTTTTGACCTTTTAATTTGTCTGCTACTCTATCCACAGTGCCTAGAATAGGATTTGACACACAGCAAGTGCTTAATATGTAGGATGGATGGATGGATGGACGGATGGATAGCTGATTGAGGCCTCAGCTCAGGAACCATCTACACCTGAAGCCCCAGGCAGATTTAGATGTTCCTCTTCTCTGTACATATATTTTCTTATCATATGTACTTGTTTGTCTGTGTGTTGTTTTCTCCTCTGACCTAAAAACTAAGTTAAGGTCCAGGGCCTCACTGCTTCATCTTTATATACTTAGAAGTGAATCCTTAGTGCTTGGTATATGATATGTCATTGAACAAATGAGTGATTATTACCCCATTTTACAGATGAGGAAACTAAGGTTCAAAAAGGTTAGATAACTTCCAAGGATACAACTAGTAACTTGGAGAGGTAAGACACTAACCCAAACATATGTCATGTGCCCCCTTTATTACTCCTTACCACACTTTTTTTTTCATCCTACCACCTCTGCTTACCGTGTTCTGTCCTGCCCCTACATTTTCTATTTATCCATATTCTACCCACTACTAAGTGCTAGTTCAAATCTTACTATTCATTGAAATCTTTCTTGATAACTCTTACTCACATTAATTTTTCCCTTTTTCCAAAAGACTTTTGAGATAACTCTCAGGGTAAATGGGGGAGGGTATGAAGTGGAGTATGTGGCCTAGGGAAATAGCTTATTCAAATCCTAACTGCATTTTACACTCCATATGCAGGCTGTTGGTGCAAAGGCCTATTTGTTTTGCAGGTAATGGACAAAGAACTAATCCCACCCTCCATTGGTCCCCAATTTCAGGTAGTGTTCTCTCATGATCTAGATATCTCTCCTAAGGATTTATGTGGCTGATGGTAGGTGCAATTGCGTTTTTTTTTTTTTTTTTTGAGACAGTCTCACTCTGTTGCCTGGGCTAGAGTGCCATGGTATCAGCCTAGCTCACAGCAACCTCAAACTCCTGGGCTCAAGTAATCCTCCAGCCTCAGCCTCCTGAGTAGCTGGGACTACAGGCACACACCACCATGCTCAGCTAATTTTTTCTATTTTTAGTAGAGATGGGGTCTCACTCTTTGCTCAGGCTGGTCTGGAACTCCTGAGCTCAAGCAATCCTCCTGCCTTGGCCTCCCAGAGTGCTAGGATAATAGGCGTGAGCCACCGCACCCGGCCTGGTGATAGATGCAATTGTTGGTATGATTTGGTTGAGCTGAGTTCCCCAAGAAAAGCTGCAGAATGGAGCATGTTTCTAAGGGTTATCAGGACAAACAGCATCCCTACCCTGGGATTAGCACTCAGGACAACTAAAGCTTTTCTCCTTTCTTCTCCATCTCTGCTTCCGTTGGAAGCAAGGACTTCAACCCTTTCCAAATCTGACTCCTTCACGGTTCCTACATGAGAAGCAAACGCTTATTTCCTAGTAGTTATTTCTTCATATTAACACATTCAAAATAGAAACTTACTTTTCATTAGCCCAACTGCTTCTTTTTTGGTACAGGAAAATATATCAATATCAGAAAGTGGTAATTTTTGTTGTCAATGGTCCTTGGAAAGCAATGAAAAAAGTTGCTTAGAGTCGAAAAAGTATTTTGATACTTGCTCTCATTTCATCTCTCAAGGTGAGACAATTACAATCAGAACCTGTAAAAATCCACAATAAATTCTTCTCTAATGTCTTTTATACTTAAAATCCTTAGTAGATACCTTAGCCATATTAGATAACTTATTCACTAATAATGTGCCACCTTAGTCTGTAACTGTTCTACATTTGGCCCTAAACTGTGTCTACATAAAATGTTGAAATCTCTATAATTTGGGAACTAGTAATGAACTAAAAGTGCAGGTTTGGTTATTGGACTGCTTTCAAATCCCACCTTTATCATTTATCAGCTGTGTGACATTAAGTTCCTTAACGTCTCTCAGTCTTGTTTGCTTCATTTTAAAATAGGATCCTATCGCTTCATAAAGCAATTGTATTTAACATACAAATATTAATTAATAAATAATAAGAGCTCTTTGAGGGTGTACTTCATTAGGAATTATGTTGAACACTCCACGTGCATTTTATCTAATTGTCAGAGCAGTCTGAAGAAACTTAAGACGCTAAGCACAGAGCTTTGTACATTGTAGACAACCAGCATATATGGAGTGAATGAGGCAGAGAGAGGCTATCATGGTCCGCAGCTGGGCCATTTGTAGAGGACGGAGTGGAGCCCAGTTATGTTTCACCACAAAGCCCATGACGCTGACCTCTACACTATATTTCCTTGGGCAATGTACAAAACGCTGAATACAGTCCTGACACAAAGAGCCCCTAATACAAGGCGTTTTGTTTATCACCGGCCCTGTGCGTTAAACAGGACTGCCCGGTGCGCTTTGAACGCGAACTCGCCAGTTTCCAGTCGGAGGCCACTGGTCCGGGATACGGTGTTTCCCTAAGCGAGGCTTAGGGGTGAAATGGAAAACGCACGCTTTTTCATGCCTCTATTCTCTATCCCCGGAAATTACCCGAAGAGTGGCGTTGAGGCGGGGTGTGCGCCTCTAGAGTCCTGTCCCCCGGGACCGGCGGGCCACGCCGAGCAGACAACAGCCCTGAAATCCGGGGGTCTGTTTCCAGTCGGACCGCGTTCCTGGGCGTTCCGGAACGCCGCGCCTGCGCGCTCAGCCCGTCGCCGCGCCGGCCCCTGCGGACGTGCGCTGGTTGCCTTCGCGGCGCCTGGGCCCTGAGATGTGCGGTTCCCGGGCCCTTTCCAGCTCCAGGTGCGTGAGAAAGACTTCAGAAACCTGGGTGTGAGGTGGAACGACCCCCGGGGAGAGTCGGGCATGCTCTGATACTGCTGAGGTGCCTGGGGACCCAAAACGGGGGCTCCACGGTCTCAGCTCCTGAGCTCCATTTCCTTTCACACTTCCCCGCCTTTTGAGTGCGTCTAACCGGGAGCAGGAATCCGTGAGGAACGCGCGGAAGGGATGCTTTTTCCTTACTGTGGCTCGTATCACATGAGGCATTTTTTTTTCCTGGCTGCGGCCAAAGCAGTTTTCACCCTTGCCCTTCTTTTCCTGGCGTGGGATTTTGCAGTTTTTGGACACTGCTCGACCACTAAATGCTTATTAGTTGTGGGCGATTAGGGTGAGGACTAGATATCCGTATCCTTTGTCCAGTGTAGTCCCACTGGGGGGGAGAGATGAGTGTTACAGGCCAAGAAAGTGGTGGGGGGGGGAGGGGCATAAGAAGTTCAGAAGGGAGAAAGGCTGTGACAAATGCCGACAGGGATTATTCGCCAACGGAAATTTGTTTCTCTCAGGTCTTTCATTTCTTGTACATTTACTTTCGTGATATCCTCACTTCATTTTAGTGGTATTAGGTTAAGACAAGAAAATCAACGCCTTTCAGCCTTGAGGCAACATCAGGTTTTATTGAGGTCAGTTTTTACAGTCTTCCAGCGGAATGTGTCTTGCTCTTGTCAGAATAACTTCCGGGTTGAACCGTTGAGCAGATCTACTATTTTTTAAAATTTCAGTTTAACATTAAAAAAATTACACAGTCACGAGGGATTGGTTTTTTAAATGTTACCGACAAAAAACAAAAACAAAAAAACAGTGAAGAGAACAGTCAGTTAAAATGGGCTTTGGAACTCTGTGAGCACTCTTGTATAGTAAGTACGTGGGGGCTGCACTTGGAGCGGTGAGGATCCCTAACCTGACACTTACAAATAGGAGATGAGATCACCCACTTGAACCAATGGTTCTAACAACGTAAGGCTCCCAGTAAGTGCTTTCCCACATGGTAGAAGGTAAGTGCCAATAGTATCCAGTCTTAGTGCTAGTGATGGTTGATTCACCATAGTTCTGTTTTGGCACAAGAGATGTAGGTAGCCAATCCCTGTTACAATCAGAGATGGTTGTCTAGTGTGTGACCTTTTAAGGCATGTTACACATAAGCATTTTTTAAAGGGAAGGAGAAGCATACTAAAAGAATTGAAGAGTCTGGGTCAAGATGTAAATCCTATGTGTGATCATTCAGTCCTGACCTTAGACAATTACTAGACTTTGCTTGGCTGGCCTCATGGGGACCTACACTAGACTTGGTGCGTGGGCAGGGCACTGCAGTTTTCTGGAGGGAGTTTCAGTCAGGGACTCACCATTACCTTCCTGCTAGCCATGCTCATACTATGACTTCTTACCTGGTCCAGGTACCTCCATTTGGAGGCCCTCCTGTCAGACCATGGCTGAGGTACTTTTTCTCTATTTTTGACTCAGGTCCTTTCCACTCATAGGCCTCCCCACTTCCTCTCCTGTCCCAAGGGTCCGTGTGGCAGGAACGTTTTGTTAGGGGCCTCTCTGCAGTGAGAGGATTTCCTCAAGTGCACTGCATCCATGTATCCCCTCACCTAGTGTCCTTCTGTTTAGTGGACCACTGGGGAACCAGTGCCTCTTTTTGCCTCTTGGTTGCACTGTTGTAGTAAGTGAATAAAGGCTTATTACTTTCAGTTTGGCTCATTGTCCTGATTGACTACCTTGATACCTAATTGTTCTGTGGGAATTAAATAAATTGCCAAGTTCTTGGCAGTTCACTGCATTCATGACTTGATTTTAATCCTCATGACTTTTGCTCTGTTGTCAGCATGTTTAGGGATTTTGGAGGTTGTTCACCTGTAATTTCTCTCTCAATGTGGTGAAAATGTATACCCATAGCACCAACAGCTGATTGTTGCTATGATGGAAATCTGGATTATATGTTATATTTTATAAATTAATATAGTGGTTTGCAGTCACATTATTTTGTTTTGCTTTGATTTGTGTGGCGTTTTCCATTTGGCCTCTAATTAGATGATTTTTTTTGATAAATATTTTAGAATAATAGAGGCAAGTGAAGAAAACTGGACACTGTTGCTTTCTTTACTAATCTTATCTCATCCTATGGGCCTAGATCTTTATAACCTTAATAGATTACTTGGCCAATTTTAATAAAGGGATTGATTTGTTGTAGGTTCCTCTGTCTAGTCTTATTTGGAGAGGTGTGTTAGGAACAGCTTTCACAAATGCTTTTGCCTCTTCCTACAGAAGTTTCACAAAACAATATTTATCTTGGCTATATGGCATGTAATCTGATACTTTCTATGTTATTAAACAAAATTCTGAGCATGATCCACTAAGTTAACTTCACAGTCCATTAATGAGTAGTGACCTGCAGTTTGAGAAACACTGTAATAAAGCAACTAGTAGAAGATATTTGCTCAATAATTTTTTTTCTCTTTCTGATTCAGATTGCTGAAGAGAACCACAGTGGGCGTGTTTGTGATTTTGTGTTTAAGGTGTCTTCATCATAACACAAATATGTTGAATGTTTGCCAGATCACCTAACCAAAGAACTCTGAGTTTCTGATAGACTTATCTGATAGGCTTATCAACTCTGATCTCAACCACAAGACATAGAGGAATGCGAGGGCCAGTGTAGCTTTTTTTTTTTTTTAATCTTTGACCCCCTCCTCCCTTATTTAAGGGCAGTGCAGTAGTAGAAGACTAATGAGAAGAAAATTAGCTTCTCAGATGAAAGAGAAGATAGGGTGTAAGATGGTTGTGAAAGTACCTGTTAAACTTTTTGTATGTGTCTTACACAGGTATTTAGGGAAGGCATTTTTATCTTTATATTAATTCTAAGACTAAAATGACCCTTTTATTATGTTGTCTGACAAGTAAACCACACTCAACTTTCAATTACTTAGTAATAGATACTACTATAAGTAGTATAAGTGACCAATAAGTAACCAATTTGTAACCAATAAGTAACCAATTTGTCAATCATATTGCCTCTGTACTTGTCTTTTAGGAATTACATAACAAAGTGGAGCAATAGAAAGAACTATAGTCAGTATGTTTATGTCTTAGAAACCCTAAAATTATTATTAAGGAGATAGGGATAATTTTAAAATTTGATTAGTGTTGAGCTAAATAATAACCTTACATTTATATATTGCTTCATAGTTTTCCAACAGATTCGCATGCATTATCTGCATGCATTCTTACAACTTGGTGTGGTAGGCAGTCCAGGAGACATTTTTCCCATTTTACAGGTGAGGAATCTATTTTCTTCTTACCACCAATTATACAGTGGCAAATCCAGGACTAGAACCTAGGTCTTCTGAGAATTTTCTCCTAGTCCACATTGTCCTTCTTGATCTAAAGAAGGAATTAGAGTAAGTAGTGTTAATTTTGTGGCTAAGAACTCCAACAGTGCTAAAGAAGGAATTAGAGTAAGTAGTGTTAATTTTGTGGGTAAGAACTCCAACAGTGATAAGTGAAATGTTCTATTCTCAGAAAATGTCTACAATGTGCTATGATTGAATGCAACTGTACCTTATTTTTAGTATTTTAATTCTTATACACTTTACCTTTCTAGCCTCCATTTAAAAAAAAATGACAAAGCAATGAAATATTAACAAATCTTAATAGTGAGATAGGAAAATTGGAAGTGAAAGGTCTATTTAATGTTAAAATCAACTCAGTCTTATGTAGCATCTCAGAAAAATAGCTTAAAAATTATGTAGATTTCTAGATATTTCTTTTTCTCATATCTGTATATGTGTGAAGTTTTATGATTCTAAAGTATTCATCTAAAATGATTAACTTGTAAAGATAGGAAAAGTCCAGATTCTCCTTTACCCTTAAGATCTTCAGCTAAAGAACATCTTAAATTATTTTCATATGAATAAAGAATTTTAAAATTAATTCATTTTTATTTTTAATATTTAGACATCTGTGGAATTTAAGAACACTATGGAGCTCATCAGAGTGTATCACTGAAGAATATGATGGCTGAAAACAATTTTGAAGTGCAAAAGATTCAACAGCGTGTAGTAGCCAACAAACAACCTAGAAACAGGCCATATATTTGCAATATTTGCTTCAAGCACTTTGAAACACCATCAAAATTAGCTAGGCATTATCTCATTCATACTGGTCAAAAGCCATTTGAGTGTGACGTGTGTCATAAAACCTTTAGACAACTAGTTCATCTGGAGAGACATCAACTAACTCACAACATGCCTTTTAAATGTAGTATTTGTCAGCGCCACTTTAAAAATTTAAAGACATTTGTGAAGCACCAACAACTTCACAATGAAACCTATCAGAATGATGTTAAACAGGTCCGAAGATTGTTGGAGGCCAAGCAAGAAAAGCCAGCGTATGGAGTGTATAATACTTTCACCACAGAGGAGAGATGGGCATTACACCCCTGCTCTAAGTCTGATCCCACATATAGTACCACGAAGAGAAGAAAGAATGTTCATGCATGTACAATCTGTGGCAAGATGTTTCCATCACAATCAAAACTTGATAGGCATGTTCTCACTCATACTGGTCAGAGGCCTTTTAAATGTGTCCTGTGTAGTAAATCTTTCCGACAGTCAACTCATTTAAAAATCCACCAACTCACACATTCAGAAGAAAGACCTTTTCAATGTTGTTTTTGTCAAAAAGGATTTAAGATTCAAAGCAAACTTCTGAAGCATAAACAAATCCATACGAGGAGTAAGACTTTTCAGACTCTTTCATTAAAAGTGAAGAGTCCAGAGTCATGCCCCCTGCCTAATAAATTAAATGCAAATCAAGATGGTTTTGAAAATGGTGATATGGATGAATCTGAAGAGAATAATCCACTTGATGTCCACTCTATTTATATTGTACCTTTTCAGTGTCCAGAGTGTGAAGAGTGTTTTGAATCAGAGCAGATTCTCAATGAGCACAAGTGTTTTCCTGCCAGAGGTGGCAAAATTCCAAACAGGCTCAAAAGAAGCTACAACTATAAAACCATTGTTAAAAAAATCCTGGCGAAGCTTAAACGTGCTGGGGGTAAAAAATTAGATAACTTTCAATCTGAGAAAAAAGTATTTAAAAGCAGTTTTTTGAAAAATCGTGATCATCTTTCTGGTGAGCAGAACTCCGAACAAACCCAGAGGACATTTATGGGTTCTCTTGGCAAAAATGGAACATACAAGACAGTTGGCAATAAAAAGAAGAAAACACTGACTTTACCATTTTCTTGGCAAAAGCAATTCCAGAGCCAAAATATGGGAAAAAATTTAAAAGGTATCCTTACAACAGAAAACCTAATAACCATGGATAATTCAGTGAATAATAAAGACTTGGCAATCTATGGTTCACCAGGTGAGGAATTCTTTAGTAACTGTGAGGTACTTCAGTGTGGGTTATCAGTTCCAAGTGAAAACATACATACTGGACATAAGATGTGTCCTTGTGACAAATGTGAGAAAGTATTTCCTTCTGTCTCCAAACTACAAAGACACTATTTAATTCATACTGGACAAAGGCCTTTTGGCTGTAATGTTTGTGGGAAATCTTTTAGACAGGCAGCTCACTTAAAAAGACATACACAAACTCATATTGAAAAGAATCCTTATAGATCTCTTTACCCAGCAGAATTTGGAAATTTGAACAAACTTTTCATTCATTCAGGTGACAATGTTAACTGTAATGCTTCCCAACAATGTCAGGCCCTTGGTTTTCAAAAACATGAGGTCTCAGAGTCAGATCAAATATCAGAAATAGACAGTAAGGCAGAATCAAAGGATTTAGTTCTTGGTACCCACTGTAGGCAGCCCCATCTTTCTAATACACTTTTGGAATCAGAGCAGGGCCATCATTATTACAGTTATGCAGGCCATCAGGAGAGAAATGAGCATGGCCTGCTTTACTATTGCAGTGTTTGTTCTAAAAGTTTCCGATCTCCATCTAAACTGGAAAGACACTACCTAATTCATGCAGGGCAGAAACCATTTGAATGTTCAGTTTGTGGCAAAACATTCAGGCAGGCTCCCCACTGGAAGAGACATCAACTTACTCACTTTAAAGAACGACCACAAAAGAAAGTGGTTTTAGATTCAGTTGAGTAACTGAAACAACCGCTAATAATGTGTGGTCTCTGATCTTAAAGCCTGTATTATTTAAAATAATTTTTATCAAAAGGCCTGCATTAGATTGATTTCATAGGCAGTTGCTTGTCCTGCGTAGTAAGGAGGTAAAATACATAGAAGATTAATATGTTTTAGGAACAGCCAAATTAATTTTTAGAAGGAAGAGCATGATTTGATGCCATGAAGTAAGCGTTTATTTTATTTTAATATTATAAACATATGCTTTGGCTGTATTGAAAGTTATAAATCTATGATGCTGTACAAGTAATTCAGCCTTATTCACTTTTTAAAGGAATTATTTCCTTTAAGGAGACATGCCATCTCCTTTTGCCTTTTACCATTTTGAGGTATACTCAAAAGACTGAGAGGCAAAAATTGGCTTTTAGTTCCAGCAAATAGCCTCTATATTTCATTTATTTGACCTTTCACGTGAAAGCATAATTTTGTCTACATACAGCTCAAATTGCATTGCAAAATGTTTTTTCTCATAAATTTAAAAAACCGTAGAGGCAACAAAAGTGAAAATGGATGAGAAAATTATAGCATTATTTTCATTGGTCTTTTCAAAGCTATTTATTCTTAAGACTACTGGTCATATCACCTCCTTTTCCTCAGGCAGTGAAGATTCTTTTTTTGCCCAGGCTGCAGTCGTCCTTCCCAAAAGAATTTAAAAGGAGAGAGGCTAGAATGCACCCATATATACATTTACCATATTTGCTTACCAGGAATATTTTCCAAGTGCCATAGTCTTTTTGATAATATATATGCAGTTTTGTCTTTTCAGAAGAATAAATGGAATTCATCTATTTGCTTGTTAATGATTGACAACAGTAGTCCTAGACTTAATACTCTCACCTAGAGATCTGTATCTCCATAAGAACTACATTTTAGTAAAACTTTCTTTTTATGCCTCTTTGAGTGGTCCTGTGATGTAACTAAGCCTGTTCTACTAAGTTTTATCAAATGGCAGTGACTAGGTCTCGTTTTAGTTTTTATTCCTCTATGTTTTTGCAAGACTCTAATGCTAAAGAATGTTATTTTGATCCTTATTAAATTTTTATTTAATTAGTAAGGTAGTCATTCCTATACAGGAATAAGATGCTTACACAGTTAAGGGTATCACTGTTCTAAACAGAACTGTCACAGTTTGGGAAATATTTTATTCTAAACTATGAAAGACATAATTACAAATTGTCCTTCATATTTGCCATTGTTTATAAAATCTTGATATTTTCTAGTAATAAAATAAATTAGCTATTTTGTTTCTAAGGTGAAAAGAACAAGTGGGTATTTATTGTTGCACACTTAAATATAGTGAAAAGCCCTCTATTGAGAATGTGGATAAAGAAGTTTTGCATCATATTCTAAGAACTGTCTTTAGGGAGGAGGATGAGAGGTGGATTTCATCTACTTCTTTTACCACAAGTGAATTTTAAGTAACTTGCGTTTAATTTACAGAGATGAAACATGGCAGTATGAGTAAAATACCCAGTGATGTACAATTGTGCCTGTTTTTTAAGTAGAGGGAGACATCCAACTAAAGCAGAGGAGAATCACATGCTTTAAAGAATAATTTCTCTTAGGTTTCCTTGAGATAAGTTCCTCCAGTATAAGCAAGATAATAATGGTTTACAGAATTTGCTTTACACAAAACTTTCCAAGAATACATCTGTTACATAAAAACAAGGAATAACTATTAATAGTTCATATTTTCTAAGAATAAATGTTCAAGAGTTCTGGAGTCTGAAATTATGGATTTTGGCATTTTCCTAACCAATTTATGTAATTTTATTTTATTGGAAGGAAATGTCTTAAATACTCCTTTCCCAACCTAAACAGGGAGAATCTTAACAGAGTGTTGTGCTTGTATGATTATGAGACTTTATTTGCTTAAGTGGTAATACTATATTTTTTTTTTTTTGGCCCATGCCTTTTTAAGCTGTTTCATATTGAAAGTTGGGATATTGTAAAAATTTTGTCAAAGATGTACTGTAGTGCTATTTGAAGTACCTGTAACAAAACACAGTCGGCCCTCTGTATCCACAGGTTCTGTATCCTCAGATTTACCTACTACAAATTGAAAATGGGGGCGGGGGAAAGAATACAATAATAATACAAATAAAAAATATAGTATAACAGCTGTTTACATAGCATTAATGTTGTATTAGGTATTATAAGTAACCTAGAGATAATTTAAAGTATACAGGAGGAATTGTGTTGGTTATATGCAAATATTATACCATTTTGTGTAAGGGAGTTGAGCATCCTTGGATTTTGGTGTCTGCAGAGGTCCTGGAACCAATCCCTTGTGAATACTGAGGGACAACTGTACTTGTTTACCTTTATTGTCATTGCAAGCTTCTTATGGAAATTTTATAGGAATGAAAATAATGTATACATCTATGTTAAGAAGATTAAACATTAGATGTTAAATGATGGTTTGCTGCATGCTAGAACTGTTAGTATTGTTGAAGCAATTACTTTAGTTTTCTGAAAAAATAAACTTTATAAATATCTTTAAAGAAAACTAGAAGAATTTTTTGTTTGAGTGATTCCAGACTGTAGTATGATTATGTACTGAAGTAGTTTGATTGGCTGGCTGAGTTAGTAGAATTATTGTTTTTTGTTTTGTACTGCAATAAGGCCTATAATTTTAAGAAAAAAAAAATGGATGTGTGTTTAAGGGAAGTAGATGGTGGTTAAAACTATTGAAAAACTCAAATTTCAAAATATTTTTAAAATAAAGTTTCAAGTTACATAGTTTGGACTTTTTTTTTTAAAGGAAGTGTCACATAGTATTGGAACAAGATACTGATTGATTGCCAGATACTTTCGTGGGCCCATTTCAATCCACCTTTTACAATGAATTTACATGCATATTTAATCATTTGCTTCCTTGTTCATTTACGTTTCTTTGATAGCTCCTTATCACCTACAAAAGAGTATGTTAACTCCACTGAATGTCATACTATCTACTTATTTATCTATCTTCTTTGGCCTTCCTCTCCAGATTTGTACTAAAGAAATACAGAATCAGTTTCTTCAATACACATTAATATTATTATTCTAGTTATTTTTGCCATCCATGATGTTTACCTTATATTAATTTAAATTAGACACAGACTCTTAAAATCCGTTCAAAGAAGAAATTTAGCTGAGTCAGATTTTATTCCTTTTTCTGTTCTCCCATGATAATGGGGGAAAACAAGTGCTGAAAACTGACTTGCAGAGAGCATACATTTCAATGTACATGTTATGTAAGACAACCAATTAGAATTACAGACATCTTTAGGACATAGCAGCAGTCTTTGAAGTCTGAATATTTTACAAGAATCCTTTGTTGAAAATAACATTTGCAAAGATTGTTTTATGATGCAGAACGTTATCTGCTCTTTAGAAGCTGTAGGAAAGGAAGGAACATTTAATCCCTGTCTTGTTGAGACTTCTATTGCCAGTTAGAAGGCCTTAGAATTTAAGGGCTAGGTGCTGGAATTCTATTCGCATTAAGAGAAAAAAGCAAATGTAACTGGAAAGAAAAGTGGTACAATGGTATTATTAGATGGAATATAGAACATCAAATATTTTGCATCTACACTGGCAATCTTATATTCAGTCGTCGAAGTTTGAATTTATGTACTATTTCCTCTGAAAGCCTTTCTGATTTACCCAAGCACTCCACTCCCTGTGTTCCTGCTACTTTTTGTTCATAACTCTATTGTTACTGTTGATCTTCCACTAGAAACTAGTGTTTTTCAAACTTTAGTGTATATTGGGCTTGTTAAAAGCATAGATTGCTGGGCTTCACCCTCAGAGTTTCTGATTCAGTGTCTGAGTTTGGGCCCAAGAATTTGCATTAGGAACAGATTAGCTGTTGTCATCAGACTATACTTTGAGAACCACTGAGCTGAACTACATGCTTCTGGAAAGCAGTGGAATGCATCTTTTTATGTTGTATACAGAGGGCTTAATATAGTGTCTGGCAAACATTAGGTCCTCAAATGTTTATTGAGTATATGAAGGAAGAAATGAAAGAAACAAGTATTATCCATATTACATTTTCCTTACATCTATAATTCCACTTAGATCCTTTCATTCACTCTCAGAGGAAGAGTTTGCCTTCTACTGTGTTGAGATCAAAGCCAATCCAAGATGTCTTCTCTAAACTTCCCTCCTCTTCCCTCAAAAATATCTTGTTTATTTTTACCCCTTCTCTCTTTCTCATTGTCTCAAAATAATGTTCCTCCACTTTTCTGAGGCTAACTTTTCCTTGTCCCCTTCTGGGAATTTCATTGAGACTCCCTTCTTTTTTCTGGTATCTGGTTTTTCCGTCTCCATGATTCCTTCTCCGTTGCCTAAAAATTCCAAATGTTCTCTGTTCCGTTGTGATGCTTTTGGCTGCAAGTGACAGAACGCCTGACTCAAACTGCTTTAGCAAGAAGGACATTTGTCAGCTTACATGACTTGAAGTCCAGTGACTAGATAAGCTTTAGGGTTGTTGAATCGCGTAGTTGAATTGATTCCATTTACTTATGTCTGCTCTGCCTTTCACAACAACAAGGCCATTTTCCTGTGGTTTTACGATGCTTTTTTTTTTTTTGTAACCAATACCTCATTCTTCCTTTATGGGAGGTAGAGTGCAGCAGTGAGTGAGTGAGAGATCCAGAAACTCTCAACAAGAGCAAGAAACAGCTTTGCTAAAAACCTACAGCAACCCTCACCTCTCTCATCTGCCAGAATTGCTTCACAAGCACATTCCTGAACCAAACCATTGACAAAGATCTCGAGCTAGGGCTGGAACTCAGTTTCCCTTTAAACACATAGTTGCCTGGGAGTGTAAGGGTACTGGTCAAACTTGAAGTTCTGTTTGGAAAGAGAAGAATGGATAGGCAATCAATGTAGTCCCCTGTACCTAACTTAAAAAGGGGTGGAGATAAACAACTTTAGTTTTACTTGTTACTCCGGCTACTAACATAGTTTACTCTTTTCCTTTTATGGTCAGAATTGTTGCAAATTCATCTCACATCTGCTTTCTTCTTTGCCTCTTTACTCACTAACTTCTTAGCCCTTTATTGCATGTTGTTTTCCTCACCATCCTTTGGGAGTTGCTCTCAGTGGTTATTGTAGTGGTCATTGTTGGTTGCAACCACAACGTCTCTTTCTCTCCTTCACTCCTCTCCTACACCAGCCAGGTGGTCTGGGAATAGGTAACCCAATCAATCTAAGCTAGAGTAACTGGCTTGGGGGTGAGCACTGACCTAAGATGATTGGATCAGAGTGAAACCTTGCATTTATTTTAGTGATTGAGGAAGGAGAAGTTAGTGTATAGAATTCTCTCCTTTTCTGTACCATGATGGACATTATTAGTCTGTTGAGGAAGTCAAAACAAAGAGGGGATGGGGTGGGGAGCAAAGACAAAAGAATCACAGAGAAATGGAGCTGGAAACCTGATCAAACTGCCTGAAGCCTAACATCACTAGGCTTTTTATTTATTTACACCTATAGATTTTCTTTATTTTTAAGCCAATTTGAATTAAATTTTCTTACAACAATTATATCCCAATTAATAATGGTCACCAGTAGTCTTCTAATTGTCAAACTCATGGTCTTTTTGAAATTCTTGTCCTTTTAGATTTTTTTGAAGCACTTGACACTATTGACAATCTTACCGTTTTAAACCCTTCTTTCTTGACTCGCTGGTTCCTTTGCTTTCTCCTTTACAAAACACCTTATAGAAAGCTGTAAAACAGGGAAAACCGTGAGATTTTAGAATATCCAAACTCATCAGTCAAAAACAGCTAAGAGAAGTGATAAAGTAGATAGAGATGAGAGAGGAGAGATATTATGACAATACTGCATTCTGTCATAAATCTGGTAGGTATTACCAATTAGAACCATTCACATAGTTACATCACTTGAAAGCTACATATGATCTGGAGCTTATTGGTTTAATATCCTCTTGGCCACAAAATTGTGAGACAAGTTATGAATTTAATAAATAGGTAAATTGGAAAACAAACTATATTACCACTATCTCTTTCTACTACCTTAGACTGTCTTCCCATATAATGGAATCATTTTTCCTTTTAAAACCTACTCTACCCTCTGTCTTCTCTACTGTGCTTTGTGGTTCCACTATTCTTTCAACTACTTAGGATGAATTTCTCTTTATTCTATCTCTCCAGTGTCTTCCACATTTATTTTTTCCTTTCACTTCACTGCCAGTACCTAAATTTATTTCTTTTTACTTGAGCCTTAGGTTTGCAATAGTCTCCCAGCAGGTATTCCCATCCTAATATTACCTGCTCCAACCCATTTAACACATCACTGAAGAATGATCTTCCAAAAATAGTTTTCCAATCAATGGTTTCCTATTGTCTTCCACAATAAAGACAGCCTCCTTTCCCTAGCTTTCAAGGGTTTCAACATATCAAGCCTTTTGCTCACTCTTAACATTACCTCAGCATTACCTGCCTCCATGACTTTATCTGGATATGCCGTAAATACAGCACAGTCTAGAATATAGTCTTTACAGTTTTTGCTTGTGAAAATGTTATGTGTCAAGATTTATTATAGAGGCCATCAGATGATCTTATTTACTGTTTTATAGACACTGCTTGGAAATAAAATGTCAATAGATATATATTCAAAATCTGTTGCATTTAAAATTGTGATCATGCAAATTTTCATCTTTAGATCTATAAACAAACTTTATACAATAATATGTAGAGGGAAAAAAGGACTTCACATTTAATCTCTGTGCCTACAGACACTTGTTTTTTCCTTCAAACTGTTTGTTTTTGACAGGTCAAATATGTTACAAAATTCTAAAGTTACAAAAGGGCACATAATGTAAAATAAGCCATCTCCCATTCCTGTTTCTTCCACCACCACCAACACACACACAATTCCTCCTTCCTGGAGGCAACCATGTTACCAATTTCTTGCCTGTGTTTATTCAGGGAGAGTTTACTAGAGATACATGTTTAATTTACTTATGGATTTGAGAATGGTAGGGATATACAGTCCAACTCAGTAATAAGAAAACAAAACTAGAGACCATTATCCTAAGTGAAGTGGCTCCGAAATGAAAAAACAAACACCATATGTTCTTATTAATAAGTGGGAGCTAATAGATGGATACACAAGGGCACAAAGCCCATGAGAAACCAAGGAGGGGGGAGGGTGAGTGGTTGGGTGTGGGATAAAAATTTACCTATTGGATACAATGAACACTATTCTGGCGATGGACACACTAAAAACTCTGACTTAAGCATTATACAAGGTATCAATCTAATAAAAACACTATACCTCCTTAATATTTCAGAATAAAAAGATTATAAATTTTTTTAAAAAGTGATTAAAAAATAAGAAAACAAGCAATCCAATTTAAAAAATGGGCAAAAAATCTGAACAGAGGCTTCCCCGAAGAAGATGCATGCATAGAAAATAAGCACATGAAAAAATGCCCAACATTATTAGTCATTAGGGAAAGGCAAATTAAAGCCACAATGAGATACATCATTTATTAAAACGGCTAAAATTAAAAAGATTGACCATATTAAGTGTTGATGAGGTTGAGGAGAAACTGGAACTATCATATGCTACTTGTGTGAATGTAAAATGGTACAACTACTTTGGAAAGCTGGCAGTTTCTTAAAAAGTTAAAAATACACCTACTATATGACCCAATCATTCCACTCCTAGATACATAAAAGAAAAGAAAATAATATATGTCCACATAAAGATGTATACAAAAATGCTCGTGTCAACCTTATTTGTAATAGCCAAGAATTTGGAACGACTAAAATGTCCATCAACAGATGACTAGATTAACAAAAGTGTTATATCCTTAAGATGGAATGCATACTACTAAGCAATGAAAAAAGGAATGAACTGATATATGCAACAACATGGATGAATCTCAAAATCATTTTGCTGAGTGCAAGAGGAAGCAAAAGGTACATACAGTATTATTTCATTTATATAAAATTCCATTAAAAGCAAACTATCGTGACAGGAAGCAGATCACTGGTTGCCTGAAAATGGGTGGGTGGGAGTGGTGAAAGGGATGGATTGCAAAAGCGCACGAGGATTTTAGGGGCTTTAGATATGCTCATTGTCATGATTCTGGTGATGGTTTCACAGATGTATGACCATGTCAAAACGTATCAATTTTATACTCTAAATAGGTGCAGTTTATTGTATGTCAATTTATACCTCCATAAAGCTGTTAAAACGAAGCCCCAAATTCCCAGTCCTCTTTTTTTTCAGTATAGCTTCCTTTAGGGTTGAAAGAAAACCAAAGTTCCCAGTCCTCCCACCTCCCAGCCCTCACTAACCTAATCCCCCACCCAGCACCATCCACCGGGCCTCTCCCTGCGATCCCAATCCCTGCTGGGTGTTTCCTCTCTGCCGCCCATTAGGGGGCGCGTACGGAGGAGGTCGAAGCCCTCGGTTCTCTAGCTCAGACCCAATGACTGCATGAACTTCCGGCCCTGCTCTGTTCCGCTTTCCGGGAACGCAGGGCCTGCTCTATACAGCTTCCCCGTGGTACTGCAGTGCTGTGGATTTCCGGGCCGGCGCGTTTTTGCATCGCGGGGTTAGGCGCGGCAGCAGTCGCTTAGGAGAAGTGGACCCGGCTTATCGCTGCCCGGGGCGGTCTTTCCGTTTCCACCGGCGTGGAGGGAGAGTGCTGCCATGGCGGCCCCTGCACAGCCCAAGAAAATCGTAGCCCCTACGGTGTCCCAGATCAACGCGGAGTTCGTGACCCAGGTGAGCTCAGGCGAATTCGGTGTGTGTGAGTGGGTAAGGACATTGAGAGGCCGAGAACTGGGGGTGGGATTTTCTTTGGGACTGGGAGCACCCAGGAGGCATTCGTTCGCCAGTTCTCTCACTGACGTCTTTTTACTGAGTATCTGGTATGTGCCGGCCACTATGTTAGGTGCTGGAGATATCGTGGTGAAAGAAACTGCCCTTCGCGGAGGAATTTACGGCCCCAGGAAGACAGACACATAAAAAGAAAACTCCTGTGTGAGTTTTGCTGTATTGGACTTTGTGGTGGAGCAATGGATTCAGAGAGGAAGGAACGCCCCAATTTATCCGAGACTGGCAAGAAGGCTTTTCAGCAGAGTGGTGCAGGACTGACTCGTGAGAGGGGAGTAGGCTTTTTCCTGCTCATAGAGTAACCTAAGTTTTCGAGCGGAATGATGAGAATGTGACAAGACTCTCCAAGTATACCGTCTATGAAGAGAGTAATCCTGTTGTTTGAGAACGTTCATTTGGAACCTGTTTACTGTCTTGCATTGTGATTCACGGTTGGCTTTGGATAGGAAAACACAATTCTGTAGCTCTCAGTAACATTTCTACTCTTCATTAGTTACTTGGGAATTGGATACTAGTGTAAGTGGCTCAGTGAAGTTGTTATGCCCATCTGCTTCTTTATTCTCTGTTCCTTGTCGCATCAATTTGCCAGGGCAAAGCCTAGGGAGTCATTTTGAGTCCTCCCTTTCCCTTAACCCGTACATTCTAAATATCTTTTAAATCTGTCTGTTTTTCTACACCTCTATCACCTTAAGTCAGACTGCCATTGTTTTCTGCCTGGACCAAAGTATACTAATCTGTCACCTTGTCTTCCCTCTTGCTCCTCCAGCCATTCTTCATGTTGCTGTCAGAGTGGTTTTGTACAAGTGCAGATCTGATCCTATCACTTGCCTACTTAAAATTTTTAAAGAGCTCTAATTGCCCTTAGGATAATAACTGGAATCTTTCAAAGTATTGTGTGCCGTGTTGCACAGGCTGGTCTCAAACTCCTGGCCTCAGGTGATCCTGCCACCTCGGCCTCCCATAGTTCTAGGATTGCAGGTGTGAGCCACCGTGCCTGGCCAGTGGCCTGTGCTTATATCGCTTTCCTCCCCTTTTCTAACTCTGTGCCTTAGCCATACTGAACTGCATTTATCTGAATGTGCCATGTTGTCTTTCACCTCCTGGCCTTTCAACATTGTTCCCTCTGCTTGAAATCATTTTTTTCCCACCCTCCCTTTTTCATTCTTATCCTACTGTACTACTTTAGAGAGGCTTTTTCTGACAAATTAACCTAGATGAGAATGCTCTTTCCCCATATACTTGCATTTTTGCAATAAAAGTCATTTATTAGTTTCCTGCTGTTCTGGAGCTTACATTTTAGAGGGAAGAGCCAAACAAATGAACAGTATCGTTCCAGACATTGATAAATGCCCTGAGGAAAATGAAACATGATTTTGGGACAGTGACAGATGTGGGGTATAGGAAAGGCAGTCAAGAAAGTCCTTTCTGAAGTGACATTTGAGCTAACACCGAATGCAAACAAGAAGCCAGTTTTGGGAAAAGCAAGGAAACAATACAGGGAATAGCAAGTGCAAATGCCTTAAGATACGAATGTAAAGATGGCCAGAGTTGCTGGAACATGAGAATGGTATGAGATGAGGACAGAGCAATATGGCAGGGACCAGATCATATGTGGTTGTAGAGGCTGAAGTAAGAAGTTTGAATTTTATTCTAAATACAGTAGATTTTAATTGCGGTTTGGTGAATACTATTCTAGAAAGATTGCTCTAGCTCAAGTGTGGAAATTGGTTGGGGATAAAAGAGCAAAAGTAGTAATAGGGATACCAGTTAGTTCAGGTAAGAGATGATGGTGGCTTCTACTATTAAAGACTGAAGTAGACTGAATATATTCTGAAGCTAGAGGCAGTAGGACTTGATCATTGCTTGTGGAGAGATGGAGGAAAGAGACAAATTGAGAACAGATTGAACAATTAGATGAATGGTTTGGACATTTACTGAGATGGAGAAGACTAGGAAAGGATAAGGTTTAGTGGGGAATATCAAGATTCTAATTTGGCCACATTGTGAGATGCCCAGTAGACATTCACTTGAAACTGTTGAAAAGGTGTGTACCTAGAGCACATCGTCAAGATCATGAATATAAATTTGAGAGTTATTGATCCAAGATAATATTTAAAGCTGTAGGACTGAATGAGATGCCTTAGAGAGTATTGTTTGTAAACATATGACATTTATTGTATCCTGCATTAGATTGTGAGAGCTAAGTCTAGGGAACATGTCCGTTTTATTCCCCATGTATTCCCAGCACCTAGCATTGTACTAGGCACACATTGTGTGATGAGTAAGTATTTGTTGAGTGAATAAATGAATGAATTAATGAAAAAATGTGCCAGAGCATTAAGATGTAGTGAGAGAAATGAAGATTCTTGGCAATCTTGGGCCATGATAGCAAACATTAATGTCTAATATTTGCCAAATACTGTTTGAACTCTTGTAGGCTGCAAAGAAAGGTGATCCTTGTCTTCAAGGAGTTCACGGTTTGTGGAAGGAGACTTTAGAAACTTAAAAATCTCAGCATAGTTTAATGTGAGAAATACCAGAATAGAGATGTGAGGAAAGTGCTTTGAGAACAGTTTAAAATGATTACATTTGTCTGAGGAAAGAATTTCCAGGAAGAATTTTCTCATTGAGAAAGTGGCATTTGAGATGGACTTTGAGATGTAGAAAGGAAAGTAGAGGAACGGGTTTTCTAGGTAGTGGGGACAACTGGGGTTAGGTGTTTCTTCTTTTTTTAAAAAATTTAATTTCTGAGCATTTGGCACACTTGGCCAGAGAAGGTGCTTTTAAATTATTTCTTGAATGAGATCAAAAAGTTAAATTTAGTTTTAAGAAGATCAGAGGTCTGAACTTTATGACTTCACTTTTTTAATGCTACTATGTTTTTATTTCCTTTTTGCCTTTCAGTAAGATTTATTTTGAACAATCTATGCTGTCATAGCTGTACTAAGTGGAAAATGGAAAGTTTTTATTTTACATGAGACTAGAGAGTTTGGGAGAGGGCAGTATATACTTGGAGGTAGTGATGTCTTAAAGATCACAAGTTAGACCCCAAGAAAATGGAGAAACTCAGAGAGAGAAAAGAAGCATGATAGGTGCTTAATGTTTTCTGGATCTTTAAAGTACGGATGTACAGTAAGCAGTTTAGATCAGAAGATAGGACTTATATTTTTAGTTGTAATTCCCTGAATCTGTCAGAACAGATTAGACTCAGTTCTCTGAAGAGTGTGATGTAAGAAGATAACCGAGTTTGTGTGATGCTCACGGGGAGCAGAATGAGGAAGTGAGAACACCACAGAATAAATGGGCATGAGGAGAGAATTTTCGATTGGGCTGGAGAGTGATTGGTAATTTGGGAAAAGTGTCATTTAAGTAGGCAGGTACTGTAATGTTTTTAGAGGCTTAGAGCCAATGTCCTAACTGCTTGGGAGTCTTTTCAAGTGTGTTGACTGTATTAAGTGCTGAGCTATTATATAAAAGCAAAGAAGATATAGGTCCCATCTCTTTAAATGTTTGGATTAAGCAAGGAGGAAAGGGATAAGCAAGCAAATAATTACTATACAGAAAGAGAATACTATAATAGAGGTATTTACAAAATAAAGAGAGGGAAAAAGCAATTATCACCATCAAGTAGTGTTGATTAAAGCGTCAGAGAAGTAACATTTCAAATTTTACTTCGTTTGTCCACCTATTCATCCATCAAACATTATTTGAGTGCCTCTAATATGCCAGACACTGTGCAGAGTCGCTTTTTAATAAATATATTGAGTCTTTGTGCTTGCCAGATTTTTAAGAGATTGTAGTTTAGTTTAAAAAAAATCAGTAAGACCATGTTGTTTCTTGAATATTATACAATCCATCGAAGTATCTGGAGAGATTGTATATATGTATTTAAATTTCACAATTTCCAGGTGAAGCCTAATCTACTGAAATGTAACATACCAACTGGTTTACTGTCTGTAATAACCAGCTAATAGACTATAGTTTTTTTTATGTCTGGGTATGTACTAATCATTTAAAGATTTATTATTTTACAAATGACATTCATTAAGATTTTTAATCTAGTTTTTAAAAGTTGCTCAAAATCTTGGGCAGATCACTTATTTTTTCTAGACCAGGGTTTCCTTATCACAATGCTAAAGGTGTTTGACTACATGTTTATTAACTGGGCTGTATCGTTTCCCTAAGGGTGGTTAGAGAGGTATGTTTTGGTTTTTTTAAATTACAATGGCAGGTTGCAGGTGCAAAGCACTACTGGCACTTAGTGGATTGCAGGCTAATTGGCCTGCTTTCCTGTATAGTCACTTCAGAATTACTCTGTCCCCCAATGCCAGTAGTGCCTTGTTAAAAAATAGCTTCTCACTGAATGCTTTCAGTCTTCCAGCTCTATAATGGCATGAATATATGACTTACTGCTTACACTGTTTACTTTTGCAGTTAGCATGTAAATACTGGGCTCCCCACATCAAGAAAAAATCACCTTTTGATATAAAGGTAAGTATTTTTGGTCTGCAAGATACTTTTTAAAAATATTACACTCTTTGTATCTCTTTTTTAAGGGTTAATTCAACAAAAGCTTTCCAGAATTTTTTTAAAAGTTAAAAATACAGTTTTTTGATTATCAAACTAGTAATTACTCATGTTAGATAATTTGGATAATATAGAAATTACATGTAAGAAAATAAAAATCACTACCCAGAGATAACTTCTCTTATCATTTTGTTGTATTTCCTTTAAGCTTTTGAAACAATATGTGTGTATATAATTTATTTAACCATTTTTCTGTTTGTAGATTCTTAGCTTGTTTTTAATTTATCATTATTATAAGTGATCATGTAATATCTTTGTAAATATGTATAAATTTTTATATAAGTTTTTGACTGTTCATTTAGGATAAAATCTGTTGTGTTCCCTTTTATTTTTAGTTTGGTGAATGAGATAAAGGTCTGTAATAATGATGGAAGAAGTGGGGGTTATATAGCATAGGGGTTAGATGACTAAGGACCAGTAATAGCCAATAAAGGAATGGACTTACAGTTCAATTGAAGCAATTTAGAAAAAAATGAAAGGAAAAATTTCTGAATGTAGAGTTAATTCTCATTGGAATAGGTTCTTAAAGAGAGGTGTTTAAATGAAATAGATGTGACATATTACACATCATTCGACAAGTAATGAAGGTCAGTTTAAGTTCTGCCCTTATAAACTGAATTATGATACTTTAGATACTCTTGCTAAAAATGAACTTATTAACCCAAAATTTCATACATTGTTTGAGCTTAAATCCTTATAAATATATTTTTGTTTTGTCAGTAATCCTATTCTGTTCATTAGGAGGATATTCATAAACATGGCATTCATTAATTACTCTTAATTATCAGCAGTGTTGCTTTATCTTACTCTATGCTCTTTATTTTTGTGTTTGTATGTGTTGGAGCTGGGGGTCTCTAGGATAATTTTTCATTAATAACAAAAATATTCTGATGGCACTATTACATTGAGTTGAATATAATTAGGTTAAGGTTTTTCAGAGATTAAACTCATATCCAGATCATTTTAGTTTTTACTAGACAATTGTAGATGAAATTATGTATGCCTCTTCAGAAGAACTTTATTAAAGATATCTTTATTTAAAGATAATGATGTCCTTCATTTTATTATTTAATTTAAATTTTATTAAAAGAAAAGCAATAACAGAATTTCTTCTAGATTGAACAAGGCTTGCTTTCCTCATCATCTCCCTCCCTCTTCCACTACAAGCATTTATTGCTCAAATGTACGTAGAGCAATTAAAAGGTATTATAGTTACCATACAGTAATATTATATTATACCATATTAAAGAACTACATAATCGTACAGGATTTTTTTTTTTACTACTTTTAACACTAGCACTACTATTAACTTCTATTGCTACCGGTAACTATTATTGAAAGCTCACTATGTGCCACGATTTGTACTAATTCTTTATATGCCCTGTCTTAGTTTATTTACAGCAATCCTGTATAGTAGTTTGTATTATTAGATCCATCTTGTGGGTAAGGAAACTGAGCCTTAGATAGGTCAGGCACCCTTGCCCAAGGGTTCCAGCTATCAGTGAAGGTGGATGTTTTGAACCAGGTTTCTACTCCAGAGCCTAACTTCTTAAGTATTTCACCATTCTGTCCAGTCTAATTCAAATGAATGGAAATTGTGAGGCTTTATCATGGGCATTTGGGTAATGGGATGTAACAATTAGCATTCGTTTCTATTACATCTTCACACTTTTACTTTCTGTCTTGCTTTTGAAAGCACATTGTTAGGACTCTTAAATGAGTCTGATAACAATTAAAACTTTAAAATTGAGTTTTTAAAAATATCCTGACCTTGTAAATTTTTATTTTCTCTAGAAATGTTATTAATATAAATCATCTTAATGAATCCTTCTGGAGTAGATATATTTTATTATTTATCTTTTTGTACTTTGCTTTCTGTTATTTCACATTTTGAGAAATGTAATGTCATTATTTAAAAAATTTATTAAGTGTTATTTCAGCAGCAGTAGAGTTCTTCTTTTTTTTTTTTTTTTTAAGAGACAGGGTCTTGCTTTTTTGCCCAAGCTGGAGTGCAGTGGTGCAATCATAGTTCACTGCAACCTTGAACTCCTGGGCTCAAATGATCCTTCTGCCTCAGCCCTGTGAGTGGCCAGGAAGGACTTCAGGCGCACACCATGCCTGCCTAATTTTTTTTGTTTTTCGTTGAGACGAAGTCTCAGTACATTGCCAGGCTGATCTCAAACTCCTGGCCTGAAGAGATCCTCCCGCTTTGGCCTCCTGAAGTGCTGGGCGACTATAGGTGTAAGCCAGCCACCACACCAGGCCAATAGCAATAATATTTGATAGCTTTCCTAAACCAATGTATTTTGTATAATCTCACCAATTGAAAACTATCAATTTAGGATCTTTAAAAAAG